TTTTACTTGGCTATTGTGGGTCGTGAGCATGAGAAGGAACGAAGACAAAGAGTAGAGGCGGCAATCTAGTATGTCCTCTCTATCTTGTATCTTAACAACTTCTCTCATTTGGCAAGAACCATTAATAAGCAAAAAGGAACATGCACGTGCATTTACAAGCATGAAAGCAAACATAAATATCACAGCTATTGTGATGTAGTTAGGCAGGGGAGGTAGGCAATTGATGTTCCTTGCTTTTGGGATGATTTGGTTCCTTGTTTAGGCTTGGTTGTCTCAGATTTAGTTGCCCCTTTAGGCAAGCTGCTGTGTTTTTCTTCTAAAATCAGATCATAAATGACTATCCAGGTTCATTCCCCCTTCCCCCTCTCTGTGGCCTTTCGGTTTCTCCGCCTGCCTCTTGTCCCGTGGCTGGTTCCTGTCCCGTGGCTGGCTGTTCCTGTTCCCCGTGGTTGCCTGTTCCTGTCCCCCGTGTGGTCCCTTCGGCTATTGTTCCAAGAATTGCCGATTGGTCTTTCGGCTCCCCATTTTTTGTTGATTCAGCTGGAGGTTTTGTGGGCTATTTGGCTTCCTCTTTTTACCTATATATATATATATATATGGGTTGTTTTGTAGTACAAAGAGAGGATGATATGAAGTAATTTTTGGAATCTAAAACCTGCAGGTTTCTTCTTAGGAAAGCTTGCAAGCTTGTTCCATTTCGCTTCTCCTCCCTTCGATTTCATCTTGGGCTTCTTATCTAATTCTTCTCTACGCAAGTGACCACCCCATTTTTATCTTTCTTCTCGATGGATGAAAGCTTCTTTAGGTGTCTGTATGTATTCAATATATTGTTGGTTGTAAGTTTAAAGGTGTCGTTTTATCTTATTTAATTTTAATTGAGTTTTTGTGTCGATTTTAAGTTATATGGTTGTGAGTTTGTTATGTTTTAAGGGAAGACACTAGTTTGTCCTTTTTTTGTAATTTTGATTGCATTAATTAGACATGAACAACCTAGGCTCTAATACCATTTTGATGCAGGCAAGAATAATTACCTACAAATACAAAATTTACTCCTACGAGCTCTTATGGCGCATAATTTTTTTGCAGTATATCTAATTGTCCTCTTTATTTCTCCCCATCAATTCTACAAGATACTTTACCGACGCACCTATGGATTTGTGTTGTGGATGCAAAAACCTCAAAGTTCCATTGCTCGAACATTATCTTTAACAAAATATACTTGCATTCTCTATCATAATACTAGTATTATATAAAATAAAATTTATTAAGCAAAACTCGATGTAACCTTCACAGAGAATTTAATCTAACTTGTTTAGACTAATTTGGCACTTAAACAAGGTAAAAATGACATGGCCACTCCCTGAACAAAACTCCACATTGTTTTAGTATGTCCATGGATTCTTGGACTATCAAGGGACAAAATGAGCCCAAAAATACCTTGGAGAGATGATTGGGTTGGCCAGCCTAATCAAGTTATACAGGACTAGGAGTGCAACTGAGATGAGCTAGATCACGAGGCAGCTCAAACTCGACTTGTTAACCAACTTGCGAGTCAAGCTTATCGAGTTTTGAACTCAAGTTCGAGCAGATTTTCGAGCTTGTTGTATTATTGAGCTCGAGTTCGGTAGAGGCAAAGCCTGGCTCGAGAATTGGTTGAGCCGCTCGAATAGGAAAATCAGGCAGAAGCAAAGGGGCGGACTGGACCGAAGCACAAAAGTCGGATGAGAGGGAGCAATCGCGGGCTTGCAAGCAAGAATATTATTCCTATTTGAGCCGAACTGTAACATTGGGTATTTGGGTTTTTTTCTTCTGCGTGAACGCGAAGAGGAGCGGCTGTTCAAGGGTTTTTGCTTAGCTGTTGTGGGTCGTGAGCACGACGAGCGGAGACGATGCATATAGGCGGCAATCATGTACGTCCTCTTTGTCTTGTATCTTAACAAATTCTCTCATTTGGAAAATAATTCAATTGTAGTTTCCCGAAATTTGAAGCAAGGGTTTCGACTTTGAATTTTTTTTCTTTATTATATTCTGTTTTTATTAGTCTCTTTAGAATTTTCGCAAAAAAAAAAAATCAACTTGAGTATGGCGGGAAAGGCATAACCGAAACCGAGACGGGAAGAGAGCTTATGCCTCATGAGCTCGCATCGATCGCCTCGAGCAGAGTTCGAGCAGGCCATTTGAGCTCGAGTCAAACTCGAGCTCGAGCTCAAGTTTGAGCTTAAGATCTGCTGAGCTTGAGTTAAGCCTGATTCGAGATCGACTCAACTCGTTTGCACCCCTATATATAGCACTGGCAAGTGATACTTGGGCAATAGTGACCATCACCACTAGTGATTAAGGAGCTTCCTTAAAGGCCTAGGTTTGGGGTGTGCTTTTAATGTTTGAAAGCTCGGGACTTCTCCAAGTTAATGTGCCTCCAAAGCTTCACCATTTCAGCAGTTGTTAATCTCAAAACATTCTTCTCTATGAGGAAGGGATTAACATAAAATTATTCAAATAATTGTTTATACTTCAGCTTAAATTAAATGAAGTTGATATGAAACTTCTCAAAATCATTCCTAACAATCTGTTTACCAATGATCTATCAACACGAATGGGCTCACAACATTGTCACCAATGACATGGTATCCTTGAATCCATGGTTTAAAATTGCGCAATATGAGGCCCTCCTTTGCGCAATTCCAGTAAAAAACGCCTTGATGCTTACTCATCGAGTTTTTTTATGAGGCTTGCGCCTCAACTTGGTTGAGGCCCGTCTCGCCTCATTGGCATGAGGCTTACGCCTCACGCTATATATATTAAAACTTACATAAATTTTGAAGTAAATGCCCGACATTGGACTCTATAGGAGAGGAGGAAGGGAAGAGAACAGTTCATCATAATGATGATTCAAATGAAGAACCCCTTAGTGATGACAATGCTGATGACTTATGAGTTCTTATGTGATATGTCATTGCTATTTATTTTTGGAAATCAGAATTATATGTTAATGAAAAGAATACTATGATTTCGGAAAGATAGAATTTTGAGTTGAACTATATTTCATGTTGTCTTATTATTGAGATATTTTGATTTCACTTCATATCTTATGCTTTTTTATATTTTATATTATTCACTCATTAGTATATAACAAATTTATCATTTTATGTTTACGCAATCTTTTGATTTTGAGGCTTACGCCTCGCCTCATGTATGAAAAACGCCTCAATATCCGAATACGCAATTTTAAACATTGCCTGAATCATCAATCAAAGATTGCTAATGGCAATCAGCACTGGCCAGTCCGATTTCTGGTAGACCCCCCCAAAGGCAGGGCCAATTAGTTCATATTTTCCACAACTCTTAAAGATGGGGAAGCTACAATCTTCTCTGTTCATTCAAAATGGACATGAAATTTGCTATATGTAACCATAATAGCTCTCTAAGTCTAAAAATATGTTTAAAGTTAATTTATTTAATAAAATTCTAGACAAATCCGAGAATTTTGGAAATGCTTTAGACTTCTGTCAATGATGTATGTGACACATGAAGAATAGGTGTGACCCTTTGAAACAATGGCAAGATGTCATCCTTGATTATGTATTTGGGAATCACTCGCCTAGCAAACGACAACATGCTGCGCTAATTGATGAAATGTGTGATGTTGATCACTAATGATGAGAAATTAATCATTGTTCACCATAATAGCATGACATTGGTTGTTGCTACCAATGAAGCAATATCACCCATTTTCAATCATCAATATGGCACAACTGCTCGTACTGACAACAGCCTAAGACATTCCAACTGGTGCCAGCACTTCTTGTAAGTCCCATCTTTTTGAAGCCTGATCCTAAACATCCCCAACATCAGAGTTGACAAGACTTCACCCTCTAACGAATTATTCCAATAAAAGAGAGTTTTCCAATTAAGCAAGTTTGCAATCAAGAATATGACCGTGAATCTCACAAAAATATTTGGTTTAACATTTGTATAAGACCTTCAATGCCATTTACAAGGAAAATTATTTTCAACGTGCAAAATTTAGATGTGATATTTCAAGATACAATCGCTTGTGCTAACTCACAGATCTGATCCTCTACATATGAGGGTACAGTCAATAAGTTTTGTAATGAGCTTAAATGACACCCAAGTCACAAACTTAATTCTCTGCAAGCAAGCAGTGTTGACAAGGTCCAACACAACAAAATGAAAGCGTTCAAATACCCTATGATGAGCATTTTCATCGCACATAATAATCAGAAGAATTCATTCTTAAAATAAAACTTTCAAAATGCAAATACATGTCTCAAGCAACCACCACGATGATGGCCACATTGCCCAAAAATCTCATCAGAAAGAGGTCTTCATTCTTAAAAATAACCCCAAATCTCAATGCTAATTATTTTGAGCTCAAATCTTTATGTATAGAACGAGATCTTTATTATTAAAATGCCTTTTGAAAATTTCACCTCGACCAAACTCTCTTAGAAGAGCCGAGTGCAAATTTTTGGAGCCACAGTAATAGATAGATAAAATAGATTACTTAAACTTTTTATGTTTAATTGTCCAAGTAGAGTAGATGAAGATTAATGGCAGCGATTTAAAGTTTGAAGAAGACGTGGGTGTTGGCCAACTTAGCTGAAAAAGATTTTAAAAGCTTTGTCAGCTTGAGATGAGTTCAAAGCCTATCCGCATCAAATCTATATCTTGGCCCTCAACTTTCTTTAAAATATAAATAATTAATTTTTTATCGTTCAATCTTATAATAAAATGAAGATAAACAAAAATAGAGGCAATTTGAATATTTTAACTTGTACTAAATCAAGACAAACCCTTTATGAATTCCGCACCATGAATCATCAGCCAACTATTCTTCATAATAATAACTTTCTAACTAATCAACTCCCTACAAATAGTACCCATATACTCAAGCAAGGCAACAAAAGAGTTCATAAATTTTGCTGAAGAAATATAAATAAGTCAAGTAACACAAAGCTTTATTGCTGGGAATATCATACCGCAAATCCTCCCATATGGCAAGTGAAAGAAGATGATGTTGAATGTAATCAGGAATACTGTTGGGATCTCTTCTGTACATCTCGGCCGATACTTCAAGAGCATCACTTACAGTGATCATGTCATTACGAAAGGCAGCCCGATTGATGGCAGTTTTAAGCTGGACATGTCAACAACTAAATGAACAATGGAATTAATAAGAAAGCTAGTGCAATAACTTTATATTTTTTTTCAAACACACCATATTGAGAAATTCTAATAAAATATGTTTAAAAAATGATAACTGCAAATCAACCAATTCGTCAGCAACTGATCTACAAATGCTACATAGCCCTAACAATGTAAATAAGAAATCTAAATCAGCAAGTATGTCTAGCAAAAGATAAGTACAGCACATTAACATGTCAGCATGCAATTATAGTCAGTCTATTTAGCCAACCCACTTATGCATCTGTTCGTGCAATCTCCTCATCAGTGATGATTTAGGCACACAAGTGCTGAAAGTGATAATATTTGAACTGAAAGACAGATCTTAGTGTTTGCAATTGACAAGAACAGGAAACATAAGAAAGAGGACTAAAGAATCAATTATTTCCAGCAGCATTCTTCCGCTGATAGTTTGACGGATAATGCTTTAAATATTATATAAGGTTCACAAGTAGAAATTAGGGGTGGCCATATTTTCATCCATTCTTAGTGTGCTTCCAGTAATTAAATTTTTGCCCCCCTAAAAACTGCATTTAGATCTCTAAGCTCAAGAAGGCACTTCATGTTGATCTACGTATTCATCATTCATTCACATTGGTCTGCGCTCCACAACAGCCTTAATTTTAGAATTGATTTCTGGCTGGGGTGCCAACCAAACTAAAAGCAATAAATTCAAAAAATATACCTCCTATGACCAAGGTTGAGACAATCTCATCTATTGAGGTATCATAAAGGATCGTCTGCCTACTAGGTCATGCAATAATAGCCAACCTTCTAGCTTAGCTGTCCACAATGCAAAAATCCTAAAACCAGTTCTTTAAACCATATAAAAACTTCACAACCACTAAGCAAAGTGAAAATATACTTATTTAACAAACGCAAAACCAAAGTTGCAACAAAATAAATTAGAAAAACAAGCAAATCCAACAAATCATTTCATCATACAATTCAACAGAACTCACCAGTTCTTTAACAGCTACGAACTGCTCATCAGTTAATCGGCATTGCCATCCCTAAAGATATAACTGATCAGAGGACATGCCTTGCAAGTGCCAATTAAAAGTTTACAAGGATCCCGAAAGAAATTACCGAATGAATATGTTCCCTGATGCATTCAACAAACCCACTCCCTCCTATTCCTTCTGCATCAGACTCAATCAGAGCTATAGAACATGAAACATTTGCAAATTAGCAGTAATAAAACAAGAGAATAAATCCAAATATAATAAAATAACTAAAATGAATTACAACTGAGGATAAGGTAAAGCAGATGTTTTCAAGCATACCAAGAATTGTGCCATACTCAAATGATGAAAGAGGATCCTCTGTTGCCCCTAGATTGAGAAGACGCAACCATAATCCCTGAAAATAGTATAAAGCCACACGTTCAAAATCGTCCATACTTAGCTTAGATTAAATCATAATTTACAAATTAAAAGAAGCCAACATAAAGAAAATGATCATGAACATGAATAAGCAGTAATATATAACAATAATGAGCACCACCAAGCGCTACTTGTAAACATTTTCTTTTTCTTTCATAGCATAAGAAAGAAAGCATGTTTTATAAATAAAATTAAAATTCAGAGCGAATTATTATTTAGTCCAAAACTATAAGGTTTGTCTTCCTATTTTCATCTTTTGCCATTCAGGTATATGCGGCATTTGGTATTAAACTACAGTTTTTCTACATCATTTTGAAAAAGTCCTCAAAACTCTTATGACTTCTGCGGAACTTCTACAGCAGCCCTCTCACAATAGTACAATTTCAAAGTTAATTGGTACTACCTCTTTACCACTTATATAAAAAATCAAACTGATTGGAAAACAGATGTCAACACTATACCTTCAGTAAATCAATCACTTGTCTCTTATAAACTCTTATTTCCAATTGCATCAATTTTTTTTTTAAATCAATTACATCAAATTTGACATTATTATTTCTGTTGTGCTAAGCTTGTTCAACAAAAATGAATTGCACCAACACATAAAAAATTGAAAATAGCTAGGCAGGGTGCCCATATTGTCTGATCCACCGCACAAAGCAAAATGCAAAATTTACCCGCACAAGAGATTAGTGCGAAATTTCAATACATACAAGCAACTAAAACTCATGAGGGAGAGTCATCAAATATGTATTACTAGCAATGCTTTAAAATTAAGTTAAATTAAATAAAAGGAAAAAATATTCTTATATAAACAATAAAAAGGGGACAAAAAGAAATAGATTTATAATCTAAAAGAGAGGAGGAAAACTTAATTAAAAATTAGATTCTTATAAAATTTTATCTAATCAAATATTTATTTTTTATTAAGTTCAAGTTTATATATATAAAGTTTAAAAAAAAATCAAAAAGCAATATTTTGTTAAATGTCCCATCCTCCCCTATTCCTCTGCACATACTAGCTTCACAAACCCCACATCGCCTCATCTCCTCTTCCAGCAAGAATAAAAAAATTTATCTAAATTAAAATGAGACTTATCTCCTCAACATGCTATTCCGGACTCATGTAATTGTCTACTTATTCACTTTGTAGCCACCCTAACTATCACACCACTATCCCTCATTTTCTCTCTGAATGGTCCCTCTTCATTCTCGGCCAATCCCATGTCCTTCATTTGCTATCTTTAGGGCTGCAAAGAGTATGTGAGTGTTCATGTTTGAGTTCGTTTATCATTAGCTTGTTCAAGTTTAGTTCGTGTTTGATTCGAGCTTTATTATTTGTGTTCACGTTTGGTTCGTTTAATTCAAGGGTGTTCATGTTCCGTTCATGTTCCGTTCATGCTCGGTTCGTTTAATGCTTATCGAACTTTAAACAAACAAGCCTTAACGAGCTATGTTCATGAACATATTTAACAAACAATCTATCGAACAAACAAACATTAAATTTGTACATGAACATTTTAAACAAACAATCTAGCAAACATGGACAAATGTGAAATATCTTTTGTTTAGAAAATTAAATGTATAATAAAAGCACTTGTCTATTTAAAATGAAAATATGATTAATCTATATGAATATATTCTTAAATGAAGTTTACCTATTGCATTTCTCTCCATTCGAGCTTTTATCGAGCTTTTTATTGAGCTTAATGTCGAGCTTGTTCACGAATTTCAAATGATGTTGTTCGTGAACATAAATGAACCGAACACATTAGTGTTCAAGCTTGTTTATTTAAGGATCGAGCATTTAAAATGTTGTTCGAGTTCGTTTGTTTAGTTAATTAAACGACCACAAACGAGCTTTAATCAAACCGAGCATCGAGTAGCTCGCCGAACGCTTGGTTCGCTTGCAGCCCTAGCTATCTTATTTGATAGCCCCAGCAAAACACCATTGCACAATTCTCACAAACGCATTGGGCAAAGTTCCTCCTCTCGCCTATCTCGTGCAAAAACCTCAAGCCTGACAACCTCTTTTTTTCTTGTGTTTCACAATTTCTAATGACACTCTGCCCTAACCTATAATGACCATGTACTAGTCCACTCTTACTCTCATCAGCAATCCAAACCACTGAGAATCATCAATATCACACACACACACACACACACACACACATATATATATATATATATATATAAAGAAACAAAAAGAAAAAAAAAATAAAAAATGAAAAAAAATGAAAAAAAAAAGACAAAAAGAGATTAAAAAAATGTTAAATAGAAATTTTGTATTTGCCTTGCTAATTTCGTCCACTTGTCGCCAACAATTGTCGCATCACAATTAAAGGTAAAAATACCAAGCAACTTTGTTGAGTTGTAAAACAACAAATACTCATGCAAGTTGTACTATGGTTTAAAATTGCGCAATTGCGTGTTGAGGCATTTTTTGTTCGTAAGGTAAGGTATAAGCCTCAAAGCGTTTTGAGGCATAAGCCTCAAAATCCAAAAATTGTGTAAAAAGAAAAAAATGATAAAAAGTGATTTTTTATATAATACCCAAATAATATGTTAAATGATGACATATTAACTTTCTCTTGACCATAAATTAACAAATTAACATATATATGAAACAAAAAAACTATACAAGATGTAAAGTGGCAAGTGATAAATTATGTGAAATCAAATTAAAATCCAAATATTAAAAGAGCATAACCTAAAATATAGAAATTGCACAAAAGTATAATAAAACATCAAGTTCCATTCAAAATATCTTCTTTCTCAATTCCCTACTTACCAATATTTAATCCTAAAGAAAGCTAAAATAGTTTACAACAACTCAGAAATCATATGCATTATCATCACTGAGAGGAAATTTATTTGAGTCAGCATCATAACAAATTAATCTTTCTCCCATCTCATCATGTGGAGTCCAATATCTCACAATCTGCTTCTACTTCATTTATTTCAATCTTCCTTTTTCATAAATGCTTGTCATCAAGGTAAAGACAAGAGTGATACTCTAAAATTTTTAGAAGAGATGGTGGTATGCTGTTTTCAAGATTGGGAGACATTGGACTCCCCGGCGATGGGTACAACGAAGTTGGCGGGCTAGTTGAGAGGAAGTTGTTGTAACTCGGGGTTGCATAAAGGTGCGATTTTTTAGGGTCTTTAGTTTAAGATTAGGTAAGTTTCAATAAAAATAGATAAATAGAGTGAGATGTATGCCTCATGCCAACGAGGCAAGGCATGCCTCAAGAAGGGCCTCAGCCAAGCTGAGGCGCAAACCTCATCAAAAAAGCTTAAACGTTATGCCTCAAGGCACTTTTTACCAGAATTGTGCTGAGGTGAGCCTCATATTGCACAATTTTAAACAATGATTTCAACACGACAAGAAATCTTATTATGTGCTTTTCTCGTGCAGGTGTTGTGCATGTTTTTTAAGGACAAAATGCAAGCAACAAATGTATTGTTTTAAATGCACAACTAGAATTTAAATGATAATAATCACAAGCGGACATGCAACACATACATGCAAGTAGATAAAAACTAAATTTTAAACTTACAATAAAATACTGCATGTATGCTAATGATGAAAAACTCATACAAATAATCGAACCTAAATGAATTTTAAATTAGAATGCCTGTATGTGCTTTGATAAGTGCGATAGTGCCTAAATCTGAAGAAAAAAATATGTTGCACACACTAACATAAAATAAAAGAAAATAAACTCAAATTTCCCCGCTTAGAGAAACATGCAAATATTTTGAAAGGCTTAAGAAAATAAAACTCCTTTTTAAACTTTAAACTGAAATATGACATATATGCATGTTCTAGAGTGAGCCACTCTACCTATAGGACACGATCATAAACCTCATAATTCGTTTCCAATCCCCCACATCCCAAAGATGGTAGTTGACAAATTTTAAGCCCAATTATAAGTATTCACAGCAAAAATTTCATATAATCAAGATTAAATGGTGATTTCAAATTATTCTCTCAACGTTCTAACTCAATAACTTTTTATCAAACATCAAATACTCAAATGCAAATATCATTTAATATTTTGTTTTAAATTTGCATAAAATCTCCACTGACTTTTTAAAAGAGAATTTATTTTAAAATAAAACTGCATAATGGTATACCTATATTATGCAGTCACGTGTTAAATTTATATTACCTATTGATGAGAACATCCGACAGTGAAAAGTTTATCAGAGAAAGGGTTAGAGATCTACGGCTAGGATCGGATTGCTCGATTTCTGAGCAATTATTTGTATTTGATTTATTATGTGTAATTTTCGCTTTTACCCTCACTTAAAAGAGTAGGTTTATGTGACCCCAGGAGGCACTTTTGTTATTTGAAGTTTTATTGTATTTTGTCTAATTATAGGCCTCACCTCCCCCTTGGGAATGATGATGATTATGCTTGTTAATGGAAAATGGCGCACCATGGCGCAAAGGTCCCATTGGAGCCATGGTGCATAGCACGGCGCGACGCGCGCCATTTTGAATATGGCGCAAATTATACAAGAATTATAAAATATCTTTAAACTGAAAGACAAACAATCATAATAACAATAAAATAATGACAACACAAATAAATAACAATCCAAGCAATTTACTCAAGCAATCACCCAAAAAAAAATTTTTTAATCACCCAAACAATTTATTTAAACAGATAACCCTGTTATACTTTGTGGAATGTTAGTCAATCCTAACATATCCTTCTACATTCTTAAAACTATCTACTAGTTAACTAACAATGTTAAGAAAATTACCATGTCCAATCAAGATATCACTTTAGTCACAATCATATCAAGTCCATTACTAAAAAAAGTCATTTTGATTTTCATGTTCTCCATCAAATGCATGCCTTCATACAATAAATTCCAATGAGATTATCCTTCAACTTGTCTCTAACAATTTCAAGTCCAATATCACAATGTTTAAAATTGCGTATTCGGGTATTGAGGCGTTTT